CACACACACACACACACACACACACACACACACACACACACACACACACACTAATGTCTACTAACAGACCTGGACCACTTACCTGCCTGAACTTTAGCTTCTTTGTCTGCAGCTGCTGACCCTCCTATCCTCCCCCCGGCAGCCTCCACCTCCACCCCCAACCTCACCTTCACCTGGGAACATAGACAGCAGTCCCCAGTCCCCACCCCCATCTTCCAGAGAGCCAATTACACAGCGACTCAGTGACCTCATGAGCTCTGGTTCCAGAACCCGGAAGCAGTGTCTGCGAAACCTGAAGCGAGGGGTGCATATGGAAACACACACAAACACAATATACACACAGATACATAAACACACAAAAACACGCACTTATGCACCCACACACAGACACATGCATATGTGCAAACAGATTCACACATGAGCAGTGAAACCCCTGTCTCACACTGACTCTGGTTTTACTGAGATTCTCCGAGTTAAAGTGTTTGTGTTGAAGCTTCTGTGATGTCTATTTAAACCAAAGTTTCTCCTAAATGAATTTAAATAAAGTGTTTTTGTTCATTTAATGCTCTCTGTGGTTGGACAGCTGTCATTGAAACTGGTCAGTATGTCACTTAATAACTTTCAGGTTGATTAAAGAGCAGGTTGGGAAATGCTGTGGTTTCTGGTGGGTCTTGTGTAAACATAGTTGAACTGTTGCAGGGCTCCAGTCCAGCAGACTGCAGCCACCTTCCTCCTGAGCAGCGACGCAAAAAACTTCAAAGTCGAATCAACAACATCAACCAGGACATACAAAGAGAGAGAGAGCAGAGGTAACACAACTATACACATGACACACTCCATCATACACAACCATACACACTACACGACACATGTTTAACAACAAAGAAWTTGTCAACATCATGCAAGCTTGGTGCATAATGTCTGAGACATAGAATTGTTGCCATGCCAGCTCAGATGTTACCTGGATTAATAAGTCTGGCTCAGATATAAGGAACCAAGAAACACTAATGAGAAATGGACAACTGGAAGAAGGCCTTCATGGACAAGAGCACATAACTTAACACAAATGGACTGCTGCTGTAAAGCAAGCCTAGACAGAGGGCTTATATGGGAAAATARGGGAACAAAGAAAACTTTGAGTCAACGTCCAGTTTAAATGAAAAAAACAAACATTATTCTGGTAGTATTATGAACTTATGTTTGCAATATTATTACTTTATACTCATATTTAAAAAAATAAACATGTCTTATTTTGACAATATGTTAACAATTTATTTGCAACTATTTTCTATTTTCTCAATTTTTGATGAATGGGAGATTAGATGCAGGTCTATAGATTAGGTACAAGTCTATAGATTAGATACAGGTCTATAGATTAGATACAGGTCTATAGATTAGGTACAGGTCTATAGATTAGGTACAGGTCTATAGATTAGGTACAGGTCTATAGATTAGATATAGGTCTATAGATTAGGTACAGGTCTATAGATTAGATATAGGTCTATAG